GAAGTGATTAGCAAGAGGCTACCAGAAGGGACCTTTGGGGGCGGTACCTTCGGGAGGGAGGGGTTAAGGAATTTTTCTTTTACTCACCATCAATGAAGCTTTAGGTGTCTTCAGGTTCTCCAGCTACCTTTTCAGCGAGATCCTGCTGTAGACCACAGATTAGGGACTCTGCCAGGGTTTTTCCGCTCTGTAGACCAGGCTGGCCTGGAACTCACAGAGATCCGCCTGCCTCTGCCTCCCGAGTGCTGAGTGCTGGGATTAAAGGTGTGCGCCACCAATGCCCGGCCTTAACTCTTCCTTTTTTGACCCCTTGATTTGATAGGGAAGCAAGCCATCTATTCATTGTTCCTGAAAGAGACGCTCACAGAAGACAAACAGTAAGACGTGGCTGATCCTCCAATAAACATGTCCCAGGTCAGTGGTCCTTCCTCCCAAAAAGTGTTATACCTTGATACTTTGAAAGCGTGTGATTTTCTGTTTCTGGTCATTTTTTTTTTTAATTTTATTATATATAAAAAAAAATGTTGCAAACAGACTAACAAAAATCCCACACTGCAATTAAGCAGACCCCAAAACTATACAGTTCAATGTACTTTTATACAGTTAGAGTCGTCACAGGGAACAGAAGCTCTGGAGCCCCACATGGGATTTTATATTTCACAATCAAACACATTTTTATTTACTTAACCACCAAAACCTGAAAGACCTGTGACAGAATTCGAGCTGGAAAAGTATTTAGCTTTATATCCTTTTCCATAACTGGGTTCATTACCTGCATTGTGTCCCTGGTGATTTAACCTTCCGTTCACTTTCTCCATTTCTATCATTTTTACATATACATTGAATCTATATACATACTTGATTGGGTAGATTCTGCATATGAGAGAGAAGGCGGTGTCTTCTTTCTAAAAGTGTATGACCATATGTAATTTTACACATTTTGGGTCTATCCATTTCCCTGCAGATTTTCATTTTAGTTTGTCTCCAGAACTTTCCTTTGGCGATTAAAACAGCAGTACACATGGTATATGAATATCTCTGTAGTGGGCTGTGTTGTTCTCTGGGTATATGGCCAGGACTGAAAGAGCTGGGTTATATATGTTAGTTATCCCTTCCATTTTTTCAGTAATCTCCAAACTGATTCCCACAGTGACCGTGTTAATTTGCACCCTCCCCTCCATCAACAGTGAAGAAGGTTTCCTTTCTCTCCATATCCACTCGAGCGTCTGTTGTCAGGCTAGCTAGGGACAGCCATTCAGCCTGGGCTGATGCAGTATTTCCCAGTAGTTTGAATTTGCATTTCCACGATGGCATTTTGGGGATCCTGAACACTTTCCTGAATGTTTATTGGTTCTTTCTTCACAAAGTGTCTATTCAGTTTCAGCTGCCCGTTTGTTGACTGTCAGCATTATTGTCTTGGTATCTAATCTCTGTCGTTCTCGGTAAACTCTAGGTATGAGCCCCTATCCAAAGCATCACTGGTACAGATTCTCCCCGACTCTGTGGGATGACTGTGTGCTCTGCTGACTTTTTTCATTGATTAACAGAAACGCTTTATTTTCATGTTGTCCCGTCTGTTGATACTTGCATCAGTTCCTGTATTGTTGGTATTGTTTCTAATCAATAAGTTCTGTCCATCCCCACGTCCTCACAGATGTTTTCTAGGTTTCTGGGTTTCTGGGTTTAAGAAAGGCTTTTGATGTGTTTTGAAAAAATAAAAATCTAATTTCATTCTCCTGATAGATCCAGATTGGCCATCACCAATTTGTTGAAGAGGCGGAATTTTTGTAATGTATTGTTTGGTCTCCTTTCTCAAATATTAAGTAGTCCTAGATTTATCATTTTCTTTCTGTGTCCTCTATCTTATTCTCTCATCCCCCTTTCTCCTTTTCTGATGATACCAGGCTGTATTTATGGCAACAGATTTACAATATCAGTCCATAAATCCACACTTAATATCACTTTTCTCATTTTTCTCCTTCCCAGATTATCTCTCCCATCCCCACGGCAAATGTCTGACCTCTAAACTAACATGAACTTATGACCCGAAATTTTGAATATGTTTCCACTTTGACACATGAACAAGAAATATATTGGTGCCTAATTGCTTTAAAGAATGGACTATATGCCACGTAGGCTCTGTTTGTAGGATCTGTCCCATTTCTTGAATCATGGTTATAAAAATGTTCATTGAAACATATGGACGAGTTGGAATAACTCTTAGAAATGTAGTTGGGCAGTGGTGGTGCACACCATTAATCCCAGCACTCAGGAGGCAGAGGCAGGCAGATCTCTGTGAGTTCAAGGCCAGCCTAGTCTAGAAAGCAAGTTCCAGAACAGCCAAGGATGTTACACAGAGAAACCCTGTCTCAAAGGATTAAAAAAAGAAATATATGGAATCAAAAGAGACCTATATCTTGGTCCTTAATACTAAATAATACTTGATTCCTAAATCTAATGATTTAAGCACACTATAGAGGTCAGACATAGATGTCACATGTGGCATTATGTGGCATGCATCAGGAGTCATGTGTTAGGGTCTTGACTGATTGATGTGCAGGATCCATCACATTAGATGCAGAAAGAACATTCCTCATGATTGCCTTGCTCTAGTCCGTTCCTGTGAGAGTCATGGCTCTCCTCCCCCACCCTGAAGTTGCAGTGTTTTCAAGTGGAGATTTGGGGAATGGGCTCTGACCTGAAGGTTTGCATTTCTATCCCTGACTCATGGCAGGGGCAGAATATGTCACCACCTGGCATTTTCATAGAAAAAACTAAGAGAACCATAAACCCTGTAACCTAAAATCTCTAGACAATAGACATAAGTACTGAAAAAGAACACATTGATGACTACAAAACTCAGACACAATAGCTCACATTTTCTCCTTAGCCATCATTCTGTGTTTTATTATTTGCAAAGCACTGAAAGTGTCTATAATTCACAGAATTTAATATAGGAAATTATGTCATCTTGTTAATCCTAATAGCAAAAATAAGACCATTACCACAGTTTGAGGGAATTTGAAGCATGCTTGATTTTGTTATTGGGGTGCACCAAGGAGCTGGCCAGGAACTCCTCGTAAGTCAGATTAAAGGGAGCAGCCCTGAAACCATCTCTTGGGCTCCTTTTAAGGAGTAGAAACACAAGTAGTTTTACAGAAGGGAGACAAGGAGGCAGTAAAAGAATGCAAAAATATCTTTTTAAAAAGTCATGTGTTCGCCGGGCAGTGGTGGTGCATGCCTTTGATCCCAGCACTTAGGAAGCAGAGGCAGGCAGATCTCTGTGAGTTTGAGTACAGCCTGGTCTACAAGAGCTAGTTCCAGGACGACCTCCAAAGCCACAGAGAAACCCTGTCTCAAAATCCCTCCCCACAAAAAAAAAGTCAGGTGTTCACCAAGTAATTAGGAAGGAGTAAGGGTATTCTCAAAAACAAATCAAGGTCATGGATGGGGAAGACCAGGTTCCAGGAAACAGAGAGAAACTCATCTATCACGGTGAATAGATATTTACTGATAAAAATACAGCATAATGACTCCTGCCTTCAAAATGGAGTCAGGCAGGTTCTGCAACTTCCAAATGCATGTACAGTCACTACACTGCAATGCACATGCTTAACTATAACTTAAACATTATTTGATGTGGATTTTTACTTCCTTTAATTTTTATTTCTCTTTGTAAGTGAAGTGAAATGTCCTTCAAAACTTCTAAAATTGTCTTATGTTGGCTTATGCATATGCTTAGGAAAATTTTAGATTATATCAAATGTGGCTCATGTGGATTTTTTTTTATCTGCTTTATAGTGGCCCAAATATTTTTATCAAACTATTTCCTGAGACTACTTGATATAATATGTTAATGCTTAATGGACAGTATGCAGTGCTGGTACTATCCTTCTTACTGTGGGGGAGGGAAAAAAAAGCAAACTCTTTGTCTATGAAATCAGCCCTGTATTCTATCTTCCATACCCTTTGCTATGTAATGCTGTGACATTGTACCTAGAGTTTAAACATCCCAGCTGAGCCTGTTAGAATGGAGCCATGTCCCCAACTAAGAATCTAAGCAATAATAGGGAGACTACCTTAAATGCCCTTCCCCCATAATGAGATTGATGACTACCTTAAATGCCATTCTAGATCCTTCATCCAATAGCTGATGGAAGCAGAAGCAGACACCCACAGCTAAGCACTGAGCTGAACTCCTGGAATGCAGTTGTAGAGAGGGAGAATGGATGAGAAAAGGGGTCAAGACCATGCTGGGGAAACCCACAGAAACAGCTGACCTGAACAAGGGGGAGCTTATGGACCCCAGACTGACAGCTAAGGAACCAGCATAGGACTGAACCAGGCCCCCTGAATGTGGGTGTCATTTAGGAGATATGGGCAGTCTATGGGGCCTCTGGTAGTGGAACAGTATTTATCCCTAGTGTACGAATGGATTTTGGGGCCCATTCCCCATAGAGGGATACTTTCTCAGCCTAGACACACAGGGGCGGGCCTATGCCCTGCCCCAGATGAGATTGTTTCTAATTTTAATAAAAAGGGATAAAACGAATAGAGTCACGTAAGGCTCAAATACACACAGGATTAATTCAGTGTCAGTATTTTAGCATGATTTTCAAGTACAGCATTTAAAACCACATTTCCTCATTATGAATTTTCCTTCTGAAACATGTCTGCTGTGATCCTGTGTAATGTAAACACACCATATGTAACAGATACATAGGCATGTCTAGACCATAAATGTCTTTTGTTTCATGTATACTGCTCGAAAGACTATCGTGTCAAAATGTTTTCATAGAGTTAAAAAGTCCGTTATAGAATGTGACCACATTTGAAATTAGCTTTCTGTGTAATTGTATTTGTTCATCTACATCCTGTCTCTTTATATTCAGGAAAGCACTCTTCCTGGGATCATGATAACACACTACCTTCTGTTTCAGGGTCTGTTGACTTTCGGGGATGTGTCTGTGGACTTCCCCCAGGAGGAGTGGGAATGCCTGGACTCTGCTCAGAGGGCTTTGTACATTGATGTGATGCTGGAGAATTACAGCAACCTGGTTTCTGTGGGTGAGAGCATTTTGTATCTAGAATTCCTAACCCATCTTTTGTATGGACTGGCATTATATGTTGTGAACTCTCTGTTAAGCTGTCCTTGAAAGTGCAGGAAACAGGGAGTTTTTGATAGTAGAAAAGAACTTTTTCATAGTATTTAATTTTTTTTTCATTTTCCATTTTGGTTTTTGTTTTGTTTTGTTTTGCTTTTCAAGACAGGGTTTCTCTGTATTGTTTTGGAGGTTGTCTTGGAACTCGATCTGGAGACCAGGCTGGCCTCAAACTCACAGAGATCCGCCTGCCTCTGCCTCTGGAGATTAAAGGGTTGAGATTAAAGGCGTGTACCACCAATGCCCGGCTTCATTTTCCATTTTCAAGGTGTCATGTACCATTCATTTAGACTCCAAAATATATTCAGGAACTCAGCGTAAAAATATTTCCACCAATTTCTTAAAGCCCCATGTCCACCATTGTATTTTACATTGTTTTAATTGTGGAAAAAAAACCTTCAAGATATGCAAACTGATACTTCTCCCTAACTATGCTGCAAATTCTGACAGAAAATAGCAATAAGCAACCTTTCCTGTATTCTTCTACTTTGTGTTCTCTTCATGTAATAAGCAGAGCACTGTTAAATATCTGTGTCTACAAATTTTAGCATGGGTCATGGGTCACAGAACACATGAGTTATTATATGCAAGGTAGACCTGGTCACCTGTCTGGAGAGAATGCGAATGTCCTGGAATATGGAAAAGAATGAGTAACCACAACTAAGGTGGCCTAGTGAATAAGTACAACAGCAGTGATGGCTTCCAGTGAAAAAGAAAGCAAGAGCTGAGAATGTTTTTGTGATACTCAATTCCACCTGAAAGGGTCATTTAACTTACAGTAGTGTCTGGGCCCCAGGACACATCTCATCTATTGTTAGAAGACATTGTGTCTATTGTACCTGTATTATGGTGACTTCATACTAATACAAAATACAATATTATTTGACTTTGCTGCCATCAAACTAGAATAATTTTACAAACTATGAGCCTAAGGTGAGTCCAAGAAATGGGATTATTCTGTAATTGCTTTCCTTCTGTGAATATCTTCATATTATATCCTTTATTCTCTGGCCAGTGGAAAACATACAGACAGACACCCTTCTGGAAAATAATCTCAGGAGTCAGTGTACAGAGTAGACTTGAGAATCACCCTATGAGGAAAGTTAAGAAACTCAGTGGTGTGTGGACCTCAGAGAGTAGAGGATAAAATTAAGCATTAAGCAATAACCACCCAGGACATCCCTGCCTCAAACTATCTAGAGCCTCTGGTATCTGGTAGAATACTGCCATTGCAGTGAACCCTTTAATGCTTTTAATACGTCTTAATCTTAGGTAGAATTGGGCTGTAAGTATGAATACTGTGAACCTGAGATAGGATTACCCTCTTCTTTGTCAATTTCACAGAAAACATATTTTAAAATATAGACATGAATTCTAAATGTAACCAGTCAGTGAGCTGTATCCCAAAGATAATTACTTACTCCCAATTATTTTCCATGTCTTTCTAAGTTAGACATTTTCTTTTTTTTTTTAAAGATTTTATTTATTTGTTATATATACAACATTCTGCTTCCATGTATATCTGCACACCAGAAGAGGGCACCAGATCTCATATCGGATTGTTGTGAGCCACCATGTGGTTGCTGGGAATTGAACTCAGGACCTCTGGAAGAGCAGCCAGTGCTTTTAACCTCTGAGCCATCTCTCCAGCCCAAAGTTAGACATTTTCAATAAAGAAGCAATATCTGCTATAACTCACTGACCTTTGAAGGCTACCGTGCTGTGTTTGTGAGAATCCATACAATTACAGTGAATGAAAAATGTCCATTACTGGGAGCTCTAATCTAAATAGTTCCAGGTTCACATATCTTCTAAAAGAGAACTTAGGGAGATAGTTGTTTATCACATGTTATTGGAACAAACCCTATTAATATGGAATATTCTCATTTTCAGAGAACTATTGCAAATGTGAGCCTGTCCATCACCATGTGAAGACTGAAAAGGAGTCTTGTCAGTGTAATGAGCTTGGCAAAGTGCCTCATGACCCCTCCACATGTGCACTTCATAGAACAAGTGAAACTACAGAGAACTCCAATAACTACACATGCAGTAATCCCAGGGATGCCTCTGTTGACTCACCAAACCCAGACAGACATGAAACCATGTACACTGGAGAAGGAACTTGTCAATCTAAAGACTGTGAGAAATCTTTAAATTTGTGTTCCAACATTACTCAAGATCAGAGACTCGACGATGAAAAGAAAAAGCATAGGCAGGAAAAATATGATGACTATTTCACCTCTGTGTACAATCTTTTTCAACAACCAATCTACATTGGAGAGACACCACACCAGTGTGGGAAATGTGGGAAATGCTTCAGTACTGCCTCAAGCCTCACTGTACATGAGAGAATTCATACTGGAAAGAAACCCTACAAGTGCAAATTTTGTGGCAAATCATTTAACCAGTGTGCAAATCTAAAAACACATCAAAGACTTCATACTGGGGAGAAACCTTACCAATGCAAAGAATGTGGAAAGTCATTTCCTCAGTTGTCAGCACTTAAAAGCCATCATAAAATGCACACAGGAGAGAAGCCTTACAAATGTAAGGAATGTGGCAAATCTTTTGCCCACTCTTCCAGTTTCAGGAGACATCAGAATATCCATGCTGCTGAGCAACATTACACTTGTCAAGAATGTGGCAAGGCCTTTCATCAGCTGTCACACTTTAAAAGCCATTACAGACTCCATACTGGAGAGAAGCCTTACAAGTGCAATGAGTGTGACAGAGCCTTTACCCACTATTCATCATTTAGAAGACATCAGAAAACTCATTCTCTAGAGAAATTTAATGAATGCAAAGAATGTGGTAAGTCTTTCCTTGAATTGTCACATCTTAAACGACATTACAGAATCCACACTGGTGAGAAACCTTACAAATGTGAGGTATGTGACAAATCCTTTACTGTGAGCTCAACTCTTAGAACACATCAGAAAATCCATACTGGGGAGAAACCTTACAAATGTAAGGCGTGTGACAAGTCCTTTATCAAGTACTCACATCTTACAAGACATCAGAGTGTTCACACTGGAGAAAAACCTTACAGGTGTAAGGAATGTGACAAGTGTTTTACTGAGTTCTCAACACTGAGAGAACATCAGAAAATACATACTGGAGAGAAACCCTATAAATGTGGAGAATGTGACAAATCCTTTATCCAGCGTTCAAATCTTAGAATACACCAGAGAGTCCATACTGGAGAGAGACCTTACAAGTGTAAGGAATGCGGCAAATCTTTTACTAAGTGCTCAACTCTTCAAGCACATCAGAAAATTCATACTGGAGAGAAGCCTTATAAATGTATGGAATGTAACAAATCCTTTACCCAGGATTCACATCTTAGAACACATCAGAGGGTTCATACTGGAGAGAGGCCTTACAGTTGTAAGGAATGTGGCAAATCTTTTACTAGGAGCTCATATGTTAAAGCCCATCTGAAAATTCATACTGGAGAGAAACCATACAAATGCAAAGACTGTGACTTTTCCTTTATCCAGATGTCAAATCTTAGAAGACATCAAAAAATTCATACTGCAGAGAAAATCACCGTTGTAAATAATGTGACATAGCATTTTCCAGTATTCTCTGCCTACAAATCACAACAGTGCATAAAAGAGAATCATAAAGATAAGAAACTTGTGGAAGTCTTTAATGAAGGTTTACATTTTTAAAAATATCCTAGAGTTTATGTTAAAAATAAAAGTCTGCAAATATAACATATAATATAGCCTTTTATTTCTTTCAGTGTGTATGCACGTTTTGCCTACAAGTATGTCTGTGCACTACATGTATGCCTGGTGTAGGTAGAGCACAGAAGGTCCATTGAATTCCCTGAAGCTGGAGGTACACACTATTGTGAACTGCCCTGCATATGTTGGGATTTGAACACTGGTCCCCTGGAAAAGCAAACATTGCTCTTACCTAATAAGCAATCTCTCCAGCCCCTAGTAAAAAAAAAAAAATGTAATAAAAACATTTATCTTGGGGGCTGCAGAGATGGCTCAGTGGTTAAGAGCACTGACTGTTCTTCCAGAGGTCCTGAGTTCAATTCCCAGCAACCACATGGTGGCTCCCAACCACCATGAATGAGATCTGGTGCCCTCTGTTGGCATGCAGGCAGAAGACTGTATACATAATAAATAAATAAAATCTTAAAAAAAAATTATCTTTTTCAACACCCCAAAATGCATAGTAATACCACATATTCTGGTGTATTCCTTTATTCCTAGCACTCAGGATGCAGAGGCAAGATCTCTGTGAACCGGAAGATGTCATCATCTTAAGTTCCAAGACAACCAGGACTACATAAACTCTTTATCAAAAGCAACAAACAAATACTAATAACTAGTAACATAAAAAATATGACAAAGCCACTAGTTTTCCCTCTAATTGTGATATCCATCACAAAATCCATACTTCTGAGAAACCATGTAAAGGTAGAGTAGACACTCCCCAAGTCCACTTAAATTAGACCTCCCCGAATGCAGTGAATTTGACAAACCCTTTACATAGTGCTGAAATTGCAGATAAAGGAAATTCATCATGAAAGAAAACATTCATAATTTCTTTTATTCACCTTCAAATTCTTCATATTAAAGTCAAATCATACAAATTGCAAGAAAATAACTAAGTTTGAAGATATAGTCTGTGAATGGGACATCATTGAAATGTGACATACAACTTTGAAATCCCCAAAGGCTATGGCTGTGGTGGTGACACACACTTTTAAGCCCAGCTTTCTGGAAGCAGAGGAAGATATTTCCCTGTAGGTTCTAGGCCGGCATTGACTACATTGCAGATTCCAAGTCAACCACAGCTACCCTATCTTGAAAAACCAAAACAATAAAAAGAAAAGGCCCTGAGGACATGCAGGATTTCATGTTGAAATACTTAACAAAACTTGGGAAGAATTTACTTGAAAATCTGTAATAAAATGATACAGCTTCCATTTACTGCCAGTCAATCGTGACTGCCATTGACACCTTCACTAAGGTAAAGGACTTATAGGACCCACCCTCAGGCATGATGAAATAGTAATTGTCCTAGTTGCACACACTTGCTTGTTCTTAGTATCTTTTGAACAGTTGTGAGTCTCTGCATTAGCAACTACCTATTGCAAGAGAAGGCTTCTTTCACCAACATTGAGAGTAATAGAAAGTGATCATTTTAAATGTGACTATTGAGATGGCAGATTAACTCTCATGATCATTATCAAAACATTGATAGGTTCTTCCCTACAATCTTTAGTTCCCAAGCCATGTTTTGTTGTTGTGTTTCCATGGCGTGAACTGCTCTCTGTGGTTCAGTCTTGAAATCCATTCAAGAGAGTTTGTTCATGTCCATAAACAGTGGTATCTGTTTTGCACCAGTATACACATCCTGGATAGCAGGTTGATTTTGTAAGATGCATGGCCAGAGGGTTAAGACCATTGACATCATTTTGCTGAGACTGACCTGCACAGTATCTTACAGTGCTACAAAAGCTGGCCAGCAGGGACATTTGCCTGTTAAGTTCAATATTTCTATCTTACAACCACAGTGTTTGGTGTCTTCAGCTACACCATGTACTTATGGTGGTCAAGCAGGAACACTGGCAATGTCCTCTTTTGTTTAGGGTGACAATGGGGCCACCCTGACCATTAAGTCCTAGGCAGATAGCCAGTAACAGATTAGAGTTTCATTAAATAGCCCTGGTGACTGGGAGCAGCATTAATTATGCATGTGGTAAACTTCTATTCAAAGTTCTTAAAATCGGGGCCTGGAGAGATGGCTCAGAGATTAAGAGCACCGACTGCTCTTCCAGAGGTCCTGAATTCAATTCCCAGCAACCACATGGTGGCTCACAACCATCAGTTATGAGATCTGAGATCTGATGCCCTCTTCTGGTGTGCAGGTATACATGGAAACAGAATACTGTATACATAATAAATAAAATCTTAAAAAAAAACAAAGTTCTTGAAATCATGCTTACTATTAATTTGTAACATAGGGGGATTTCATCAGGCTTCTTCACAAATCTTTACTTTTGGTGGGACTTCATCCCATCTCCCTGCCCCATTCCCAGCTAAACCTTCCGTGTACATTATCCAATCCTCCATTCCTTTATACTACATGTATTCTACTATAGTCTCTATACTATAGTATATATATACTATAGTATATATTTTTTACTTGGGGTGCAAGATTTTACTTGGGTTCCCATGGAGCTTCTTCACAGACATCTGAGTGGATCTTTCAGCAGCCCGGTCTCTACTGCGTACTTGAATGATTTCCCCCTCTCTAATGGCATATCACCTATATGCTACTATCTATCCTCTCTTCCTCTATCTCCCCACTAACCCTCTATTTCTAGATTCCTGGCTTCTACAGGTACTCTTGAACTCACAAAGTTTGCAGCTTAGAGACGCATATATGAGAGAACATTTGGTGTTTAACTTTTGGAACCCAGGTATCTATCTGAATTCATCATAATTTCCAGGTACCTACACATACATCAAGATTCCACACTTTTATTGACACCTATAGAATATACTGGGTTACATAGGTAAGTATCGCTTTTTCATTGACCCACGTTTCAGTTCATTGACGCTGACGTGATTCCATTCCTAGATGCTGTCAAAAGAACATCAATGATCGTGATGGGCTCATTCGTTAGGCGGCAAGTCCTTGGAGTTCGTGCCCAGGAGTGGTTATTGTGTATCAGTTACCTTGGTAACCAACAGCTCTCTAATTGGACTTGAGGAAATCTTAAGAAAAAAAGAAACCGAGATGGGTATTGGAAACCTGGCTAACTACACAGTGCTGGTGAAGTCATGAATCTTGGAGGACAACCAACAACCTCCACTTTACTAAACCAGCATAATCCCTAACAAAAATGTAAATATTTGCCTTTTAATCACACACAGGCATAGTCTTCACCTGTCATCAAGGAAACTGCAACAGACAGAGACTACAACTAATCAAATGAAGATTTTGTGGATGCCAGAACCAATGGACACTTATGTAAAACACCCCTGAATGTAAGTTGTAAGCAAATTTTTTGGAGGTGGTATTAAAGTTTTAGGAGCCAGAGAATCAGGGAGTTTGCTGTGAGATTGTGTCTCCTTGTGTCTAGTAAGTGTTTACTCTAGAGTAACAGAACTGATAGAATGAATCTCTCTCTCTCTCTCTCTCTCTCTCTCTCTCTCTCTCTCTCTCTCTCTCTCTCCAGGTAAATACTTGCATAAAGGGGATTTATATTAATTACAGTCTGCTGTCCAAATAATCCAGTGAACAGAAAATTCAAGAATCTAGTAGTCAGTCCACAAGGCTGGGTGTCTCAGCTGGTCTTCACTATGTGCTGGAATCCCAAAGAAGGAGGCTCCAAGTCAGTAAAGGGGTGGATATGGTTAAAAAAAAAAAAAAAAAGGCAGACAAGAAGCAAAATCTTCATTTTTCTATGCCCTTATATAGACTTCAGCAGAAGGAGTGTCTCAGATTACAGGTGTGTCTTCCAGCCTTATGGTCATTTTCAGAGGCGTGGATCCTCCCGTATCAAGATATGGATCAAAGATGTTTGTCCTGCTACCTCTAAGGTCTGGATGAGTAGTGGATTCACACAGTTCAAACCAAAGAAAAATAATCTCTTGCAGGTGTACACTCCACTTGTGACTTGTAGTTCATTCCAGATGTAGTTAATTAGATAATCAAAAGTAGCCATTGCAAGTCCACCCCTTGTCAATTTGACATGCAATCATATCTCCTTATGTCATGATTAATTTCCAAGTGAAAGCAATTAACAGGTCATAATATCACCTAAACATTGTATAAGTGTACCACATAGCATCACAAATGCATTGTGTTTTTAACCATGTCATATTTATACTAATATGATATAACTTTCTCTTGAATTACTACAAACACATTTGAAATTTAGAATAGGTGTCAATGTCTCTCGTGGACCAGGACTTTAATATTTCAAACTTCAATTTTATAGGCAGTGACATTCTCTTAATTGATGCCACACCACTTGAGGGGTCTGTGCCTTTATCATCCTTCCTGGATTAGGGAGTTGTAGTTTCCTATTGACTTTAATCACAGGACATGGGAGTACTGAGAGACACCCTAAAGGGTCTCCTGCACTGCAGACATAATCCCCGTAATCCTCATTGTGAAGAGGTAAACCCATTACCCCATGGTAATCTGGATCAGTCACCCCCTCATACCATGTTTATTCCTTTCTTAGCTTGTTGGTTGAAGGGCATTTAAAGGGGCAGTCTGAGCCTCCAGCTCAATGGAATGTTTGTTTCAGCTCCTGGCAGGAATGATACCCTGCTTGAAACTGGTAGACTTCTAACCAGCAGAACTTAATAGCGTTGAGGAAAGAGGAAGCAAAAATTTGCTAGTGGGTTGTGTAGGGAGAGACCCTGATTACTTGTACCAAATGGGCGTGGTCACAGGTATGTAGAAGGGTGTAGACAAGGAGGAGCCCAGGGAGAGTTCTCTTTTCTTTGTGAAGGGCAGGGCGCCCTGGAATGGGTTTACCCCGAGAGGGAACCCGGCTCTCCCTCACCCTTATCTACACCCTTCTACATCCCTGTGACCATGCTGGTCAGCAGTAATTGTAATTAGCGTCTCTCCCTACAGTGGGTCACTATGGATGATGGTGAGATCAACTATTCCCTCTTCCTCCCCTTGATTCCCCGGACACCTGGATCCTGGCTATGGCAGAAAGCATATAATAC